CTCTTTTTGCCTACTGTCAGCGTCTGATCGGACAAGTCTAATAATAGTACAGAGTTTATCTATTTCATCTCAGTTTCAATGTGGGTCAAGTCCATGGGAGCTGACGGAAGGGGGCTGTGACTACCATGTCCGTCTTGCGAAACAAGTAAGGAAACCTCAGTTTTTTCGGACGTCGACATGAGGCGATGCGATGATGGGTGAGTGATGTGTCTTGTGCAATGTGTCAGCACTGATACAGCTGGAGAAGGAGCCGGCGTCTAGTGATGGCACCACACTAGGATGGGATTATACGCAGGGCTGAGGGCTCGCAGAATTGGACGTTCCTACCCAGCGACGCAATACACAACCAATGGCGCTGGGTATCTCCCACTTTCTCCGACGTGCATCGCGTTTCTCATCCCAGTGGGCTGGCTGTCGGAAACAGAGCTCTCAAAGACCATAACGAACTGGGAGCCTCTTGCACGATCGTCGATGACGGCAGCAGCCGGCACACTGTGACCACCCTCCACCCTCGGAGCTTTTTGCACTTTTGGCCCTTCAAGTTGACTGCGCTTTGTTTTGTCTGCCTGCTTCAGAGTTCTGCGTATCGCCTTACGCCCGCGATCATCGCCGGCATCGGAGAGAAGTGGCACAAAAGAAGTGGCCGGCATCACTTTTCGGCATCTCGAAACCTCAGGCCTCAGGCCTCATGCGTCATGCACCGTGTTCACATGAAGTGTCGTACGTTCGTGGAGCTTGCGCTCCCCTTGAAATTTGGTGTTCGGTGAAGCTCGGGTGGTGAGAGGGGGCACGAAGCATTATGGAATGAGGTGTCATCATCCGATTCTATCCACCATGCGAATCTACGACGCAGAAGCAGAGGGCGAACGAACGAACGGAAGAACAACTTGAACCGGGACTTCCGTCCGATGAAGCCGCCCTTCCTTCTCCGCAGTCCCACACCATCCTACGAAAACGAAGGAGAAGCCGATGGCGTCCCTAGGAGTCGGAGTCGACGATCCCGCTTTCGCCGGCTGTGCTTGCGCTTTCAGGGCTTTTGCGCCGTGTCGCGCGACGTGAAACCCCCGTCACCCATAGCGGGTACGTCAGTGATAATTATCATATCATCCCCATCTGCGCGTTTCATTTTTCACCCTCATCACCCACCCTGGGAACTATCAAACCTCTCAGATAGATAGACGTTTCTGTGGCTTCTCTGTCACGCATTCGATCGGGCGTCAAAAGAAGAGAAAAGAAAGTATTTTGCAAAATGTCACGGAGGATGACGATAAGACCCATCCATCTCGCGCTCCACTCTCATCTTGACCTCGAACAGCTAGACTGGGCTGTGGAAGAAAGAGCATGCCCAGGAATGGCAGAGTGCGATGATACCTCACTTAATGCCAATTGTCAGCGGTAAGTGAGATTCTTCCGATGTACGCGGTCGGATCATTTGGCCACTGCCCGCTCCGGACCCGTATTTTCGACCGGGCGTTGGCCCAAGCCAAGCAGCGCCGACGGGAGCTTTTTTTTTTTTTCACGATCACGACGTTTGATCCCACAGTGGGTTATAGAGTGGGTGGTGCCGCGACTGGCAAAGGACTGGCACAGTAGGACTACGTAATTATAATGCCGTGTGGATAAATTTTAACCACGATCTTGCTGACCAACCAAGGACAGAAGTGCGGCGGTGCCTAGTATGTGCTCGCTATCGCCGTGTAAGTACGTAGTCGTCTGCTTCCTCGGGTCTTCTCAAGATTGATTTTGGGCGGCGCAGGACTATGTTCAGGGTTACCTGAACTCAATTTCTCCGAGCCATCACACGTACAGCAGCCTGGAATCCTGGATCCGCGATCTTGTTGTTCCCATTACGGATATCGTACCCATAAAATCATCGAATAAGGGTGGACACAGCGACGAATTTCCCTTGTCTTGTGTCCGATTTTCATTATCTCTCTCTCTCTGCCAGTACCGGATCTCGGATCTCTGCGACTTTGCCATCTGACGTGATTGATCCAAATCACAACTCACGACACAGCTGTCCGACATGCTGGCCTCCACGTCTCCAACTCGTCCGTTGGGCTCTAACTTACTCTGGGCATAACCACAATACACGACACAGGCCACGTTCATGTCTAAATGAGAATGTGTAAACGATCGCACCTTCATATTCAATAGGCGAGGACGTATTGTATGATGTTTTAATTTGCGGTGGCAGCATGCGACTCCTTGTATTCGATTATGGTCAGCAACAGAGACAAATGTGCGCCTGACATTCCCACTGGGTAATCAATTCCCGTCAGCATCACTCATCACTCGGTTCAATTCGTCTACACTTCCCAGGGACAAAGAAATTTTGTTTGACAATCATCAGTCCGGGACAGGGAATAGCATGTTATTTTTCATTGCATTCCGCAGCTATGACATGTAACTGCATCGCTGTCAAAAGACTAAAAAGGGCCGGGAGGATCGGAGACTAGAATTTTTAATTTTTGCCTCCAAAATACGCTCATGCAGCGGCACAGCTCTACCACCATCACCGAACACCCTCCCCCCTCTGGCAGTACAGTCTCACCCGAAAACAATATAGATTTGGATCAGCGAAAACGGAGGACGGGCAGATGAATGGACGCAACGGGAGAACGGCCCCACTTCCAAACCAACAGCGAGGCTCTACGACGCCGTCTCGCGACGGTTATGCCGCTGCCCGCGCGGCGGAACGGGGTTCTCCGGCCTAAGCGAGCAATACAAGAAATGACGCCGCGGGAGCGTTGCGCTCGCCACGCCCGCGACCGCCGCGACGCGCGCGCCAAGCGGGGCGGTGTCCGTTCCGCTTCCACGCACGCCGAGCGAGAACATGCGATCGAACACTGGAGAGGAGGGAGGGGTTCAACGTTTAATTTCCGTTAACGAGGGTACGAGGTGATTGTTAACGGCTGCCGCGTACGTGTGGCTATGAAGGCCTTGGCCGTCGTTTGGCACGTGAGGTGCGAGAGCGCGAGGGGCGGGCTAATGCCCTCGAACGTGCGGAGGTACCGGAAGACCATCGAGGGCTGACAGGGGCCGAAGCGGAAAACTGCCTGGTAGGCCTGCCGCCACTTTTCGTCGAGCAGCCGCGCGCAGGTCGTCGGGTCCGGGCATGACGGACACTGAGCACAACAACGTAAGTTTCCGTTTTCATCCCATTTTCGGGCAATGCAATGGGTTTTCCGCGGATCGCAGTTTAAGTCAGTCGGGAGAGAGGCGGACGTACGCATTCATACTCTTTCGCGATCTGGACGAGGCCCAGCTTGAGTACTCGTTCGAGAAACCACGTGCGTCTGTGTCATTGTTCGACAGTAATATCAGCGATCACGATGTGGATGGCCCCTCTCTGGAGGCATGGAGAGGAGGGCGAGAGGAAGGGGTATTTTACCGCTTTTCGAGCTTGAGTAGTGTCTCGCTGCTGAGCGTATTGAGCTCCTGCTCCGGCCACCCGCCTGGATTGTCGAGCACGAAGCGAGAGGCCTCACGATACAGCTCTTCCTCCTCGAAAAGCTCGGCAATGCGCATCGCCTTGATCGGCCGACCCGCCGCGTGCGTAAGAAGAAAGTTGAGACATATCCGTTGCAGAGACGGAACGCAGAGCTTGTTTCCGATGTTCATCAGCCCCTCCACATTGTTCCATGTGATCGTGCATTCCATGCTGCACCATAGGTCAATATGGCGCGTCCCTTCCGCTTGTTAAGAAGGCGTACCCAGGGTAAACGAACCGCAGAAAATCGTGGAATGTGCTTGCCTAGGATGCGAATGAGATGGGGTTTGCAGACACGTATCAACAAACTGCACCTTCTCTTCTTTGAGAACTATGACAGCATCTGGATTGTTTGTCGATGGGTGGCACCTAGCGGATGCCTGTGCGTTCCCCCGCTTCCAGGAAAGCTTGACGACGCCTTTTCCTTTCCCTTTTCCTTGATCCTTAGGCGACTCCGCCGCGCCGGCGCCAGCATTCCGAACTGCACGCCCCTGCAGCTTTTCCAGGCTTTCGATTCGCGCAGCCTCGTGAGCTTTCTTCAGGACCTCGGCTTCAGAGCGTGCACCCGACTCGGTCCCGGGCTTATTGGCCTGCTTTTCCTCTTCTCCAGACACGACGACGGTTGAGGTGAGAGACTCGACTGTTTCGGTTTCACTCGACTCTGAAATGTCGATGTCCAGCTCGTTGGGATCAAGATCCGGGTCCACGGGTGCGAACGTCATTGCTGTGGGCGCATCAGGATGTATCTTGTCACCAGGGACTGAGGGAGGTTGAGAGATAGTTATGACCGAGGACATGGAGACTGGGCGGCCGGTCTCGGCCCAGTTCCCGCTCAGGGCGGCCTGGAAGAATGGAGAAGCGAACCAAAGGACCTCCTTGTGTGCCCTAAAAAATGGATCCAGCCGACCGACCCGACCCGACCCGACTGGCATAAGTGATTGACGTGACGAGCGAGAGGGTAGCGAGCTGGACGCACCAGAACGTCGTGCTTTCGACGACGATTTTGACCGTTCCCGGGAACTTGGAGCATTTGGTGAACGCCTCGTCGACGTCGATCGACTCCTGCGAGTCGCTGAGGCTGACCTCAGAAACTGAGTCCTCCGAATCTATGCCCTCGATGAACCACGGAGGCGAACCGGCCGCCGACGAGCGGAAGATTCCTGCCGCCGCAGCATGTGTCTCTGTGGGTGAGCTGAGTGAGGCAGAGGCATTCGACTGGCCACGGGAGTTGCGCGCGATGAGGATATGCGACGGGTTGGTCGTCATTGCAATAGTTGTTGTCAGTACCTGCTAGTGGACCCTCGTACTAGTTAGCGTAAGTGGACAGGCTGTGCGGTCACGGCTCAACGCGGCCCGTTTAAGATTCTGGAACTTCTGGTTCTCTTCACAGAGCACCTCTCATCAACTGAGCCATAAAATCGACGGCACAGAAAAAAAGAAAAAAGGGCACTAACAATGGGGGATGAAGTTACGACTGATAGGATGTATTCTCGACTTTGTCTGGTCTGGCGCTATAGTGTAGTGGCTATCACAACGGATTCTGAACTTCACGTAGTCTTCCGTTAACCCAGGTTCGAACCCTGGTAGCGCCTTTTTTGCACTCATCTCAGCAAACAACATTGAACAAAGGCAACTTCCCATCATCATTCAATTGTGTAACCATCACCGAGCAGATGACTGATCACTTCCCATAGCAACAGGAGTACATAATTAAAGCAGTGACACTCTTGTTACATAATGTGTCTATGCTACGAGATCAGATGAGATTGATGAGAAGTAACCTCACGGCCATGGATCTTTCCTCGTTTGTCTCATGCACACCGCGACGGAAACTCCATTCTCTAGTTCTATGTGCGCAGATACCGAACGAGCGTGGATAGAACCCCCCTCGCGCTACGCATGAGTTCCTGACCTTAATATTATAGGTGACGAGCTCTTGGCTATCACATTGAACTGTAAATTATAGTTCGGTGATATAACGGAGGTCCTCGACACCAGCGTGGAACCACACACCTCGATCACCGGGACTATTTACTGCGCCAGAGCTTGGCAAACGTCGGAGACTCGGTCCTTGCTCTGATTGTCAGACGAAATAGAGGAATTCTAATACCCATCTCATCATACGAAAGTGGGACCCGAACACCAATTTTTGATAACTGAAGAGCTACTTTGTTTCATCTGGTCCGCCAAGACGACGCCGCATCGTAAGATGATGTCGCAACGCGATACAGGCCCGACAGTTCTTATACAAGCAGGAGACAAACCAGCGCGGTACGAGAACTTGGTTGGATCACATACAAGTGACCACTCGCCGTACTACGCCCGAATGGGCAGCTAGCTCCACACAAGCCTTCAAAGTTTCAATGATAGTGGATGATTAGGTGAATCGTACACAATGGGGATATTGAGGGGCTCGGTTAAGCTTATGACAGACACAGGGCAGATGGAGAGGATGAGTCAGCGGGAGCACGTGCACCGAGCACAAGCGATGCCGAGACACGTTGAGCTTTCCTCGCGCTAACTTATAATAAGTATCATTCTCCCTTTTTCTCCCCCCTTCTCGTCCCTCTTTTCTCAGTCATGTCTTTCCCTCGTTCCGAACCGTATCCGTTGCCTTCCCAGCTCGGGGTCTCTAATGTCGAGACTATGTTTAACAAGATCATGGACGTGGTCCTCAAATCTGTCAGTGCAGCGCGTCACCGAGCGTGTCCATCCCTTCTTACTGTTCTTTTTTAACAGCGAGAGGAGATCTCTGAGCTTCGTCAGGAGTGTTCTGAGCTGCGTCAGGCTAATCAGAGTCTCGAGCGTCACGTTAAGGAAGGTGTCCTTGCTGCTGTATGTGTCCTCCTTGCCGGTATCTCTACGCAACAAAGAATAGCTAACTGGCGGGCAGCAAATGCGTAGCCCCCATCTGACAACTCCTGGTTTCAATACCCCTGCTCCTAGCTCTCCTCAGCTTCGTGCAAAGTCTCCTTTCCTCAACGCCAACTCAATCCCCTCTCTTGCCTTTCCAACGACTATACACGTAGCGTCTCCCCTAGGCGACAACGGCGTGACCTCTCATCCTTCTGGGTCTATTCGTGAAATTCCTGGTTTCTATGTTGTCATTCCTGCTGGCGGAGCCGGCACGCGCCTATGGCCCCTTTCGCGGGAGGGGCATCCCAAGTTCCTCCTCGACGTGACCCTCCAAGGCCGTAGCCTGATCCAAGCAACCTGGGACCGTCTCCTCCCGCTCTGCGGCGCAGATCGTCTCACGGTCGTCGCTGGCCCCGCTCACGTTAGGAGCATCCAAGAACAGCTCCCTGATTTATCACCGTTCAACATCTTCTGCGAACCCGGCCCGAAGGATTCGATGGCCGCAATCGGACTCGCGGCAGCGATCCTCGCAAGGCGCGACCCCGATGCCGTCATTGGCTCATTTGCAGCTGACCATATGATCTCGGGCGATGACGCATTCCTCAGCGCCATATCCGAAGCTGTTCAAACTGCGCAGAACGGATACCTCGTCACCATTGGCATCGCTCCATCTCATCCCTCGACCGGTTTTGGTTATGTGCGACTAGGCGAAAGACTCGGCATCCCCGAGGCGCCGAACGCGCGCCTCGTGTCAAGCTTTAAGGAAAAGCCTGACGCACGTACGGCTGCCGCGTACATCGCCACTGGCTCTTACCGCTGGAATGGGGGTATGTTTGTCACGAAGGCCACGTTCTTGATGGAACTACTCAAGGAGTATAAACCCGATCTCGAGGAGGCTCTGACAAAAGTGGCTGACGTCTGGGATGATGAGGCTCGGCGCACCAAGATGCTAGAGGAGGTGTGGCCTAGTCTCGAAAAGATCGCTATTGACAACGCTGTGGCCGAACCCGCAGCGTTAGAGGGTCGTGTTGCCGTCGTGCCAGCAACGTTTGGTACGTATGTACATGTGATCGTTTTCGCAGACTAATTGGTGATGGCGGCGCCACAGGTTGGGATGACGTTGGGGATTTCTCGTCACTTGCCGAACTCTTGCCTGCTGAAGCAAATCAACCCCGTATTCTTGGCGATAACGGACTGGGTGTGTCCTATTTTTGTTTTAGCAGTTCCCGCGAGTGGAGCTCACTCAACCCCAACAGTTCTTACTGAGCAAGTGGCTGGCGGCATCGTCGTTCCTGGTTCCGGCCGGCTTGTCGCGTGCTTGGGTGTGGATGATCTCGTCATTGTCGATATGCCCGATACCCTACTGGTCACGACGCGTGCTCGTTCGCAAGAGGTGAAAAGGCTCGTCAAGAAAGCCAAGGATGCCGGTTGGCGCCGGCTTCTATGAGCCACCGCTGCTTTTGATTTTCAGACTTTTCGGTGACTTTCAGTGATACATACAGATCTATCTCGGGCCGTTTGCTGTGTTTTTTTTTCAATCGTTCTACCGTCTGCCTTTCGTTCTCTGGACCATCAAGTTTCTGGAACTGAACAGAAGTACAGTAGTAGTTGTCTCCTCCCGTCTCATTCTGGGTAGTGTAAGATGTGTACCTAGGACACGTTGCTACATGGACCTCTACCAGGGGCCAGGGATAATTACTAGTTTGTTGTCCGTGTCCGCGTTGGTAATATGTGCTCTTTGTCATCTATCTACCATGTCCCTTTTATGTCACCGTCAATTTGCTGCCCGTGCCGTTTTCTCTCCACCATACAAGTTTACATTTACATCTACCCGGTTCATGTCCGCGTTCAACACAAAGTATGAGAACATACTCACATCGCGCCCGGAGCCTGGCGTGGCACTCGTGACGCTCAACCGCCCAAAAGCGCTCAATGCGCTCAACATCGCGCTGTTCAGCGAACTGAAGGCGGCCCTGCGCCTGATCGACGCCGACAAGGAGATCGGCGCTGTCGTCATCACCGGCTCGGAGAAGGCGTTCGCTGGTGCGTGTGCGCGCGAGCGCTTCGCCGACTCTCCGCTCGGCTTATTTTGCATTTGCGACCATGCTGACGGCTGACTGATTTTTGATTGGAATGCTGTGCGTGGCGTGGGGCAGCTGGCGCTGACATAAAGGAGATGAAGGACAAGTCCTGTGAGTACAATACAACATAGATGGTTGTGCCGAGTGAGCGGGCGCGTGTTGAACCTTCCAGTTGCGGACGCGTACCAGAACAGGTTCTTGGAAGAGTGGCAGGCAGTCGCCACCATTCGCAAGCCGATCATCGCCGCCGTTAGCGGCTACGCGGTAAGTAACGGTCTTATATATATATATCCCCTCCGCCCTCTGCCCCTAGGGGGCGGGGCGGTCTCCTATCATTTCCTTCCATTCCACCGGCACCGCATCGATCTTCCGCGCCGCGCTGACCTTCTGTTTTTGTTCTTTTCTTTGCACTTTGCAGCTCGGAGGCGGCTGCGAACTGGCGCTGATGGCGGACATAATGCTGGCAGCGCCGAACGCGCAATTCGGGCAGCCGGAAGTGAACATCGGCACGATCACGGGCGGGGGCGGGTCGCAGCGGCTCGCGCGGGCGGTGGGCAAGTCGCGCGCGATGGAGCTCACGCTCACTGGACGCACGTGGGGCGCGAGGGAGGCGGTCGAGTGGGGCATGGCGAGCCGCGTCGTGGGAGAGGGAGAGGGCGAGGTCGTGCGTGAGGCCGTCGCGCTCGCTAGGGAGATTGCGGGGAAGAGCCAGATCGCGGTGCAGGCGCAGAAGGAGGCCGTCAACGTTGGTGCGTTTTGGTTTTGGTTTTGGGTTTTTTTTTTTTTTCATGGGTTTTCTCCTGCTCCTCGTAATGTGTGTGTTGGTTGTAGCGTTTGAGCAGAGCTTGTCCGAGGGGCTTAAAACTGAGCGTCGGTTATTCCACATGACGTTCGCGACGGCGGATCAAAAAGAGGGTGCGTGGATTATTTTGGTCTGAGCCTGCAATCTTCTTCCTTCTTGACGCTCGCGAACAGGCATGGCGGCCTTTGCAGAAAAGAGAAAGCCAAACTTTACGAACTCGTAAACACATGGAAACGACCTTGTTGTCTGGCATCTGTAGTTTTAGTAGCAGGTCTCGGTGCTCAAACACCTCAAAAAAACATCTCCACATCAACAATAATTTCGACATTTGCCAACTGCACATACGCCAAGATACAGAAATACATGGCCCTTCTCCTTATCCGAATAGTATTGAGCCACTGGGCAAGTCGGTATCCCTGCTTTGCGAGCTGCAATTCAATCTATTACGCGTGCTTTGAGCGATATACAATAAAGGTCGATGATGATAGGTGTCGTACCAATGGAATGGCATCGTCAAAGGTATGACGTATCGCACAGGTCTTGGCCCTGCGAGAAGTTGAATACGACGGTCTACAGCACATGCGCGGTCAGATGTCAACATGGTGGCCAAAGTGTCCAAACGACCCACGGTCGAGAGGACGTGGACTACTCACGCAATCATAGGCATTCACTTCTTGTGCCCAGGTCAGAGGGACATCAGTCCCAGATAGTGCAGCCTGGGAGATATCGTTGACCCATCCGGCCGCGAGCGACGCGTATCCGCCAGACTGTTTTATCAGGCACCAGCGGTCGTCTCAGGACATGTCAGTAGAAAGGGAGGGCGCAAGTGAGCGTTACCGAGATCCGCCTGACG